CCATCAACATATCGGATCCAAAATCGTGGTCGATAGTGCTCGCACGCGGACTCTAGTAATAGGCTTATCGATCTCCCAGATGCCTATCTCGCGTTGCGCGAGCAACAGCGGAGCTCAAGTTCACTCGTGGAGGAGCGAAACATGGTAACTCAAGGTCAGCCCCGGCAGAGCTGACTTAATCATCCAGTGAGCTCTGCGTTTTCATTCCTTGACAATGGCCTTGAGTGAGAGTCCGAAACGTCGGGCAAATAAAACCCTGGTCCCAGAGAACGTTCTTTCCCATTCTATATGTATATATACATATATCAAAGGGCAATTTTGGAAATTATTAAGTACATGACATGGAAGTAGATGATCGGTACATGTCTTTTAATAGATGGACCCGAAATTCGGAGGAACATTTAAGTCGAAGACAATCGACTTCCGTGGAGCCCACTCTACGCACAAGTAGCACTACAAATAGTGTGAATTCTACATGCCAATGATGTTTAACCGTTTTTTTTTCGCATAGATACTAGCTAAAAGCCCATACAGGTGCTTCGCCGACGTTTCTGCTGCGGCATGATACAGCGACGTTGGAGTACCCACCGAGGACCCAATACCCTTGTTGCTGTATAACGCAGCTGCACAGTAGTTGATATGTATGATAAAATGCGAGAATCAAAATTTGATTGGGGATTTAACACAAATTGGGGGTTATTTTTTTGTCCATTGAGTTCGCTTTATGCGCAAAATGGGTTTTACCTGAAGAGTCGTCCGTTCAGATCAGTAAAATTGGGGCAAAGATGGACGGGATGGGGACAAATCAAACGTTTATTGATATCCAACGAGTTTCCTACGCTATTAAAAGTCACAGAAAACAACTGCTTGTTTTTGCCTGTTGTACTAAAAATATAATTATCAGTTTCATCATAAAGTATGATTATCAACAACCAGAAGATTTTGATGATATGGGTTCAGAGAATAGGCAATATTGTTTCGCGATCAAGAAATTAAGCTTAATGCAGTTATGCAATTATTTTCAAATAAAGATGAACAAATTCTGTTTAAAAAATTGTATTTTGCAAATCTGTTAAGTTCTTTGATATAACTTTAAGTAAAGTGATTCAGCTGTTAATAGTGTAACCGAATCGAATAAAATGACCGTAAATAAGCATATATATATGCGAAGAAAAAGTGATCTCAGGAACCATAACTTTAATTTTTCTGACTTTTCAAAAACAGACAAGTTTCTGTAATCGGAGTTAAGTGTTGTGCCGCGCCTCACAGTACTTATATTTAGGTAACAAACAGTGTTCATGAGGAATTGTGAATTTTGCGGGAGGGAGGGTTTGTGGTGTTTACGGCCCATCAAGCATCGTGCCAATTGATGACATGATGAAGGTGACCAGTTAATGCCGACCGTCGGGTTTTGTTTATTAGGACGGCCGAGTCATAACTTGGGCCGTCCTGAGGAAATGAGAACCAAGGAGTCGAAAAGACTACCAATGCATTCAGAGCGGGCAAAGAAGGCGACCTGCAAAGGCCGACCCCCTAGGACGAAAGAACAGCCGCCAGACAAGTTCTGAGGTCACGCATGACAAGGGCCACAAAATGACACATGCACGTGCGCACGTCACTGAGGCGCGACTTGTCATTCTGCGGACACCTTGGTTGTGCCCAGGCCGACACTGGTTATATTCCCCAGTTACGTGTTTGGAAGAGAAGGCAG